CAGATGTACCCATGTGTCACTGAGGTTGAATGTTTTGTTATGACATGTAAACGGGTAACATGTATGAATGTAACTTATTCAATCGATAGATGTAGAGCAGAAAGGTCAGCATGTGTTCATGCTAAGTGGTGTGGAAACACTAACAGTTTTGAGGAACCCGTCCTTGACCCTCTAGCAGAACTACGACCAGCCATTATAAAGCAGTTTATAGTTGTTAATGTTGTGTCAAAGGGTATTTAAACATGTTCTTGCACAAGTTTCCTGGCTTCATCCCCACCCGGACAGACATTTTGATGGAAAGCCAATAGAAGTTTGGGGCTTGCAGGGAAGACACGTCATACCCAGCATCATTTCTGCCAGTTGAGCGCATTGCTAGAAGATGTGTGGTTAATACATCCTCTGTGCATTTAAGTAGGACCAAAGAAAAGGTCACTGTAGTCCTGCCACTATGCACTGTAGTTGAGCTCTAGGAGACTGATCTCTGCAGACCCCTGTAATGGGAAAATGATATGTGACCCTTTTAAATGCTTCATTTGTATAACCAGTTTATTAGTTGCAAGTGCTTAGGTCACAAAGGCCCTGACATAAGAACTGATGTCTCCCACTTGGATTAGATGTTTCCAGCGTCATAGCTGTAGAGATTGAACAATGTGTTTGTTATGTCTATGACCACCTTTGTTTTTGAATGTTGGGAGAGCAAGGATACGGTCAAAGAGCTGACGTGTCTCACATGGATAAGATGTTCCCAGTATCCTGACTGTAGATACTCAACAAGATGGTTAACGGTTTCTGTTGACGCCACCGATATCTAAGTTTAGGTATAAGAACTGCCTCGATGTGTTGGGAGGAAAAAGGAGGTTCTTGACAGTCTACTGACCACGTAGCTGTTGTGACCCTTTTTCCCTTGCAAGGAAATAAACGGAGAAAAGACATACTTGACTCAGAGCCTTTGATTCTTACTTAACGATTGTCTGTGCAAAATCTTCCACCACAATCTCATCCATGCTCAGACTGACGACTCCTCCGTCCAGCTGCAGGAGGAGAAGAACGCAGAAGACGTCTGACGTTATGGAGGCTGCAGGTTCGCTGGTGGAACCGATATAGATGAACATCATGCGTGAAGCTCGCATGATGTGGTGGCAACGTTTCACCACAATGAGTGACTTACGTTTGAAACCTGCTTCACTGAAGGCAACCTTCTCATCTCCTGGTTGATCTTCACCCCAAACACCACGTAGGCCGTCCCCTGAACCGGCTCCCCGTACAGGTACCTGGGACGCCATGACAACAACGTGAGTCAGTGTGGGAGGAGGAACGCTAGATGTTACATGTGGACGGTGAACTACGACTATGAAGCAGCAGGACCAGCAGGTGTTTGGTGTGTGCGAGTAGTTGACCGACCTGGCCGAGACCTCCACCTGCAGCTCGCTGTCCTCCAGGTTGAGGAAGGACTTCTTGGGCGTCAGGGTGACGTTGAAGGCCGGAAGGACTGAAGCACAACACGCCAGAAGCATGAAGCATTCCTTTCATTAGACATCACACTGGAGGTGAAACATCTCCTCGTGGTACCACGAGGACCCGACGTACCGTATTTCTTCACCTCGAACTCAGAGGTGAACGTGTTCTGCTGCCGGTGGTCAAACTTTGCTGTCAACGTCCATTTTCCTTCACTGGCACAGAGAAACATCACAGAACAAAGCATGCCGAGTTCATCCTCTGGGAACCAGGAACGTCTTTTCTAAAGGTTGTTCCTTGAGACACGTTATTGTGCAACAAGTCTTCTTGTTAACTCCTGACGGACGTATTGTCTTAATTACACTCGTACGTATTGTGCATTCAGTTCATTCTTGGTCTAAATAGACGCATTTTAATCTCTGAGCAGTTTGCGGTTCGTGGATGAGGCAAAGAAGTTGATCTGAGGAAATGACTCATCTTCTCTCTTGATTTATTCCGTCAGTAAACATGAGTTTATGGTTTGAAGTCTTATTCAATACAGCATTTTCATTTAGTAAATGATGGTCCATTTAGAGTCAACTAGAACACATGAAATACATACTTATACTGTTGATACGCTTTGCAGTGTGGTAGATTCTCTCTGCAGTTCTTCCTGGTAGCTGTTGAGCAGATATAATATGCCACATTGTTAATGTTGTAACATGATCATTTAAGGACGAAGGAGTCATTAGGGGTCCGGTTTACTAAAGAGGGGACGCATAAACCCAAAGTACATGTTATTAACCTTATAAAGTAAGATCAAACTTAATATAATCAGATACATACAGATGAGATGCTGTGTATGTGTGGGAGCTATTCATTTGCAGTTATAATTTAGTTATATATTCCTAAATATTATTGTTCACATCTTGGGTTCAATGTAATAAAATATTAAGATAGATTTTTCTGTTTTTGTAGTCAATTTAGTTGAATAAAGTATACTTATTTGGTTACAGTAATTGGACTCATTAATTGTGTAACACTGTGGGCACCTGGAGGATATTTAAGGGCGTAGCCAGGCATATGCACCTGGGTGAGATGGAGGGCATTGTGAGCATAGGAAAGGCAGCAACGTTATGTTTTTTATGCGTTTGTTTTGGAATAAATGCGAAATAAAAGGAAAAGACTGCTTGGACAATCTGCTCTCTTGCTGCGTAAAATAAACTTAAAACGGCTGAACGAGTGGGATTCAAAAGTCATAACCACAGCGATGGAAATGTTTGAAGTTTCAGAAGCTACGATGGGGATTATTGTTAGAAATGGACTTGATCGGAAAATAACCACATTTTGCTGTTTTTCTTGCACTCCGCCTGCATGTTAAACAAGAGCAAGCATTCAAAATGTCTGACGTACAAACGGCAAGCGACGTTGAGACAATGGCAGAAAAAAGAGAAACTAAATTTACTTCTAAAAGCTTGGACTTCTTTACCGAAATGTATCAGCGGAAAGGAACAGAAGATATAAACAAGCCAAGGATGGAGAACTTTGAGAACTTACTTGCGTCAATGGCATCAATGAAAATCTCAAGTCAGTGAATGCTGAGCGTACGAAGTTCATCAAGTGTTGCTAAGACGCAAATGACATGGATGCATCGTTTATGAACTTACCTTTAGAGGAAAGCAAGCCAGTTCAACCCCCATACCAAAACCTCCAGTTAATATGGATGAAAAATGTGTTATTGCTTTGTTATCAAGCACAATTAGTGCAACCTCATGTACAAGGTCTTACTGAGAGCTATCAGAGTGACATAGTAAATCTTATGCAGAGGCAAAAGGAAATCTCTGCTCTGCTGGCTCAGCAAAATCTATGCTCTGTCCTTCGTGTCAGAAACATTCCTGTGTTCGATGGACACCCTCTTCAATACAGGTCTTTCATCATCAGAGCTTTTGGAAATGGAGTGGAGAAGAAGACGACTAATAGGAGTGACTGTTGACACTTTCTCCAACAATACACCTGTGGGCCGCCAAGAGACCAGAGGCCTCATGTACAAAGGGTGCGTACAGTGCCGAACGCACTTTTTCACGTCAACGATCAGATGTATCAAGAGCAAAATGACTGGAAATGTGCGTGTCTGCAATTACACCTGTGGATATAAAAGCATGCATGAAGTGGTGCAATGCATACTATTAAAACAATGGCTGCTTTAGCACTACTAGAAGACATTGCAAACGGTGCAATAAGGAGAGAGCGCAAATTTAGAGACGGAGAGGATTTGCTTGCACATGAGGACTCATCAGCCGCTTCAGGTTCCCGAGGACAATCCTCCTCGAACTATGTGCAGAGCTGCGGCCGGCGTTGGAGCGCAGCAGCTCCTCCTACGTTTGCTGCTTATTCCTGATAACGTGCCAAATAGCACATTTTTGCGTGCCTCCACTTCTGAAAGTAGCACTTTCCATCTCGCTATCGGTGAAGCTTTTTTTTACCATCTTACTCATTCCTTTTTTCTATCTTTTCTGATCATGCAGAGAGGGGGATCGCAGGTGCAGGGTGGGAGTCTGACCATCTGGTGTCGTGGTGCAGCCAGAACAACCTGGAGCTCAACGCTCTAAAGACAGTGGAGATGGTTGTGGATTTCCGGAGGAACAGCGCCCCAACCTTCCCCATCACCCTGTGCGACTCCCCCGTCACTATTGTGGATTCCTTCCGTTTCCTGCGCTCCATCATCACCCAGGACCTCAAGTGGGAGCTGAACATCAGCTCCATCACCAAGAAGGCTCAGCAGAGGTTGTTCTTCCTGAGGCAGCTGAAGAAATTCAACCTGCCAAAGACGATGATGGTCCACTTCTACACGGCCATCATCGAGTCCATCCTCTGCTCCTCCATCACTGTCTGGTACGCTGCAGCCACAGCCAAGGACAAGGGCAGGCTTCAGCGTGTCCTCCGCTCTGCAGAGAGGGTGATCGGCTGCAATCTGCCGTCCCTGCAGGACTTGTTCGCTTCCAGGTCTCTGAAGCGAGCTAAAAAGATCGTGGCCGACCCCTCTCACCCCGGACAAAAACTGTTTGTGCCCCTTCCATCTGGCAGGAGGCTGAGGTCCATCAGGACTAAGACCTCCCGCCACACCAACAGTTTCTTCCTGTCGGCAGTCAGGCTCATCAACAGAGCCCGGTCCCCCACTGCCTGACTATAACACTCCACCGGTCACTCCCCCTCATACTGCACATGCCACTTTAACTGCAATTCATCACTTTGTCTCTTGTCTGTTACTTGTTAACAGTTTAATATTTTTCTTTTTAATATTTAAATTTTTTTTACTTTATTCCCCTGTTTTATACTAACCCATAGCCTTAGCCTTATTCTACTAACCCATTGCATTAGCATTTCATTCCACTTTATTTTATTACTTGTGCACTGTTGTCTTGTCTGTCTACTGTCGCGCACTAACCGCCAAGACAAATTCCTTGTATGTTTGACATATTTTGGCTAATAAATGTTTCCTAATTCCTGATTTAAATATTATTTGTATATTGCATATAAGTAGGGGCGTGGACAGGGAGGAGTCGGGTACTCCGACATGTGAGCTCAATTCCACGTTGATTGCAATGTACAAAAGAAATGTGCTTGGATTCATGCGTTCGCACATATTGATACATCTGGATATTATATATAGTTTGATCGTACGCCATGTTTCAGTAAGAAATCCACTCAAGTCTTTGTACATGAGGCCCCTGGTGTGCAGTTGTCAACATCTACCTTCAGATTGAAACTTCCTCATAAACTAAAGGGAAAGATGGAGAAATGTCGGAGTGCCTGTCAGGTTGTGGACGTGGCTGGACCCAAACGCAGAACAGACAGACACAGCCGTCAGGAGGAGAGTGAATTAGTCAGTTTATTAATCGACACGACTGTGGAGGTGCAGCAGGAGCGGGCGTGAGGAGTGCAGATGAAGGAGGGGGTCCCGGGTGATGATCTCCTCGACAGTGCGCGGTGCCCAGTGGTCCTCCCACGTGCAGGAAACAGACACGTGTCCCTGTAACCGAGGAGGTGAGACAAGAGGTAAGTAACGCGATTTACACTGAATGAAAAGAGAACAACAGCCGGCTCTCGGCTTGACTGGGTGCCGGTCACTGAGACTCGCGAAGACTGAGGTCGACATACGTGACGTGAGTAACGATCCGACGTTGGCCGGTTGTCAGGCTCTCCCTCTTATCCCCTGGTGATTGAGGCTCCGGTGAAGGTGCGTGATTGCAGAGCTGAGACAGGTGTGTGCGAAGCCAACCTCTCCCAGATCCACCAGAGGGAGACCTAAACCAGCCTTTACCTGGGTCCAGAGGGGGGAACTCTGACAGTGCCGGAGAGCACTGTGTAACGATCTTGTTGCCTTCATTGAAAAGTGAGTCAGAATTGCCTCAGATCCTTTTTGGCAACATCCAGGAGCTACAACCCACCAACTTGAAGGTCACACATGTTAGTCACATGAGCAAAGACTGCAGGAGTCGCTTGGATTGCAATGTGAAAGCACCCAGGAGTCCTTCATCTAGAGCGCCCAGAAAAAGGAACAACCATAACATTCAAAAAGGGAAATTCTGTGTAACCCAATAATCGCTGTGTCGCAGAGCAGCGTCTTCGAAGCCTTGAAAAATACCCTAAAAATAATGATTCAACATGAAAATGATTCAACACATTAGTAGACCCTCTCTGGGAACCGTCACCGTATCGTGGGGGAGAGGTTTGTGTGTCCCTATGACCATGAGGGCTGTGTTGTCGGGAGCCTCGTGCTCCTGGTAGGGTTACCCTTGGCAAAGTGGTCTCAGGCGAGGGGCCAGACTAAGAATGGTTCAAAAAGACCCTATGAAAAAACGGAAGGAGTTACCCGGCCCGGAGGAAGCCCGGGGCCCCCATTTGGAGCCAGGCCCAGATGGAGGGCCCGACAGCGAGCGTCTGGTGGCCGGGTTTACCGTGGAGCCCGGCTCGAAGGAGCGACGCGGCATCCCAAGACTCTACTCCCCGTGGCCTCACCATCTGTGGGGGAAACCGATGGGATTGGATGCGATGCTACAAGGGTGGCAGTGACAGTGGGGGGTCTAGACGGAACAGAGCTGGGCGGCAGATGCTGGCTCTGGGGACGTGGAACGTAACCTCTCTGGGGGGGAAGGAGCCGGAGCTTGTGCGGGATGTGGAGCGTTATCAGTTGGATCTAGTGGGGCTTACCCTCTACGCACAGCCTCGGCTCTGGAACCACACTCCTGGATAGGGGATGGAGTGCTGCTACATTGGAGTTTA